TCTCTCTCTCTCCCTCTCTCTCTCTCCCTCTCTATGAGTCTCTCTCTCACACACACACACTCACTCATACTCTCTCTCCCTCGCTCTCCCTCGCATTCCCCCACTCCTCTCTCTCTCTCGCGTACGCCTACACTGAGAACGCGGATATGCGTGACGTCACTCTCTGGCCGTCTTTCGGTCATTGTTTCCAACAGAAGCCCAACTGATGTGCGCGCCGTTCAGCCGCAGCCACCGCTCGCTTACATAACAGTGTTTTGCAATCAATGACTTACTGTGAGTGTATTGCGGGCTGTAGTAGTTGGCCTCACACCCGGCCCTGTTGTCGTAGTAGTTGCCGATGGCCGGCAACAGCACGTGTCGTCTGAAATTTGTGAGTTTGAGTGTCGCGCCCACGAGGACATAGTTCTCGGGACGCAGATCCCGATGGACGAGATTCTTGGCGTGAATGAACGCCACGGCCTCCGCCATTGCCTTCTCGTACGCCTTCTTCTGGACGTCGGTCAGAGTCGGATCGTCGAGAAGGGAGCGCAGTGTGGGTCCGGTCTCCACAACCAAATACGCCGTCTGTGAAGAGATATTCGCGTTATAATGAATGAATGCAAACAACGCGCGACGCGATGGACGCCAACAATGGACTCATGGATCACGCGCTCGCCCTCTCATACCTCGTTGAGGACGAAGGCGTCGAAGTAGCGGACAATATGCGGGTGAACTTCTTGGTTGCGAACCGCTTTGATGCGCTCAAAAAACACCACAAATTTCAATAATCTCAGATATTTATCATTGGATTCGTCCACTTTCGCCGTTTCGACTGCCATTAGGACACCGTTTCGCCTCCAATCGCTGCCTACCCGCACAAACCCACGGCTCACGAGGTATTTGTCAATCGTGCCGTCGTATTCGATAGTACTTAAAGGCATTGCTGGAGATTCTTGTCGTAGACGAGCGTCGGGTGCGAATCGTCGGGAAGAATGGCCTGATTCTTGGCTGAAGAGGAAGCGAGAGATTAGCTTTCGGTTGAATGCAAACATAACTTACGTCTAAAACTGAAACTCTTCTGTCGGTCGTCTTTGGCGTCCAAGTCGTTGGACGTCGTCTTCGGCGCTGTCGTCGTCGACAACTGTTGCAGAGGAGTGTCGTTGAGTGTCGTCTCGCGGATCACTTATAACTCGAAAGGCATTGAAGGCATGGAATTGGAGTTCGAAATGAAGGAAAAGTCGTTTGAATTGAATGTCGATTCTGTCGTCAGAGAAGGCGTCGCATCGGCGACAGAGTTGTAGACATTGTTGACGAGAGGCGGCGGCGGAGGGGCGACGACTTGGCCGTAGAAGTCGAGTCCGGGATTCAATAGGAGAGGCGTTTGCGGTTCACTAACAGGCGCTGCAATGGCCTGAATATCACGGGTTTGTTCTGAAGGACTATCTTCTTCTGGCGTCGTCTCGAACGACAATTGTTGAGCACTGGTGTGAAGCGACGGATCAATGAGAGGAGGAGTTGTCGCGAGAGTCGTGTCTGGCGTTGAAGTCCATTGTTTTGACACGTAATCAGTCTGAGAGCGACTGAATGTGTGACACTAAGTGATGGTCTATAAGACTGCACGCAAACCGCACTTAACACTGGTTTTGTCACTCTTGTCCACAAGAAAGCCGGAGCCGAGCATATGGTTGGGTCCGTCGTTGGGCTTCTCTATAGTCTTCGTGAACTTCACTCGAATGACAACACGTGTGGCAACAGATTCTGGTCGGAAGTGATGACAACTGAGAGATGCAGTGATGGACGGACGGAGAGCTGAACACAAACACACGCATTGAGTGCCGGTTTGGAGTGAAAGCGCGGGCAAACACTGTCTCTACTCTCCCTCTCACTCAACACGAGTCGCTCATTGGCTAAACCCAAGCGCACAACGCCTTCAACACTGCATTGAAGGCATGAGAGATGTGGTGACGAAACTCAAACATGGCGTCCGCGCCTGACGTCACATCAATTACGTCGACAGTCGTCTCTCTCTGTGATTACGTGTCAAAACAATGGACTTCAACGCCAGACCCGACTCTCGCGACAACAACCACTTCTACCACTACAACGCCAGCCTCAGTCCTCCGCAGCAGCCGCTGGTCAACAATAGTAGTGGTGGTCAGCGGTCGCCACTGGAGCCGCAGCTGTGGACGCAGAACGACTATTTGAGTCAATACTACTCGCAATACTATCGCGACTATTATCGCCGTTTCCTCGGCCAACAGCAGCTCCACCAACAGGTGGCGCGCGCCACCACCACTGTTCTCAGGCCGCCCCTCAAGTACGGCAGCGTGCGGTGCCATTCGCGCGCGCTCTTCTCGCAACACGACAACTCGCTGGTCGTCGTCGACAACACCCGCAGACGTCACGTCGTCTTGTATTCTCTGCGCGATCTGTGCGTCGATTACGTCTACACCGCTCTCTCGCCACTCATCAGAGACGGCGCGGCGGGTCTTCCCGTGACGTCACGCGACGCGTGTCTCCAATGGTTGCGCAGTTTCGGCGAATTCGCGCCGAACTTCGAGTTGAAGCTCGTGACGAAAGTGATGGAAATGTGTTTAAAGCAGAACCGCGTGGAAGGCCACGACCTCGCGGAGCTGTTGTTGCCGCACGTGCTCAACGCGGAACGCCTCGAACAGCAGTTCCCCGCGGAGACCGCGAGTAGGAACGCCTTCCGCGCGCTCCTCCTTCGCGGACAGCGCGCGCTCGCTCTGAGCCACGCGATGGACGCCAACAATGGACTCATGGATCACGCGCTCGCACTCTCATACCTGTTGACGACGCGCGACGACATTCGGCGCCGAAAGACGACAACAATCAGCGAATTAATGATGAAAACAGTGAAGAAGTTCTGCGAAACGCTTCACCCGAAAGATCCGCGTGAGTCGCGACTCATTGTTGTCTTTGAATCACTTCTGAATCTCTCTCTCTCTTTTAGTTCACGTGTTTTATTCTTCGCTTTCGAACGAAATCCAAAGGAAGACGAGAATAGAATCGGAAACGAGTTTCGAAGCGTTTCTCATTCTTCTGTCGAACGAAATGGACTTAAAGTCAATTCATTTGTCGCAAAACGACGACATTTTTCCGCAATTATTATCTCTAATCAGACATTTGGTGACAGAAGAGGAAGAAAGAGAGACTTTTATATTAAGCGACGAATTATTCGATTCCGAAATGAATTCAATTCTTTTGAACGAAAGTTTGGAGTTTTGTCTGCATTTTGGGAAACATTTTAATCGAAAACTTGTGTTCAAAAAAGTGAAATTAGTGTCAATTCTCTTCGACTTTGGTTTTATCGACATTTGTCTCCAATATTTGCCGCAATTGAAGACATTCTCCGATAATCTCATTATTAGACGAATTATCTATGAATTGGAATCGCGTTTTGATAGAGACGTCGTCCCATTGGACGCAGAGTTGACGACACATGACGTCCACGACGTCTTCGCCGACGACGCGTCGCTTCACACCAGTGCTCAACAATTGTCGTTCGAGACGACGCCCGAAGAAGAAAGTCCTTCAGAACAAACCCGTGATATTCAGACAGAAGCACCGCTTCTTGAACCACAAACGCCTCTCCCATTGAATCCGGGACTCGACTTCTACGGCCAAGTCGTCGCCCCTCCGCCGCCGCCTCTCGTCAACAATGTGTATAATTCTGTCGTCGATGCGACGCCTTCTTTGACGACAGAATCGACATTCACTTCAAACGACTTTTCCTTCATTTCGAACTCCAATTCTATGCCTTCAATGCCCTTCGAGTTCGAGACAAACGAGAGTGCGATCCGCGAGACGACACTCAACGACACTCCTCTGCAACAGTCGTCGACGACGACAGCGCCGAAGACGACGTCCAACGACTTGGACGCCAAAGACGACCGACAGAAGAGTTCCGGCCTTTTGAGCAAACTTTTCAATTTCAGACGTAAGTTATGTTTGCATTCAATCGAAAGCTAATCTCTGGATTCCTCTGCAGCCAAGAATCAGGCCATTCTTCCCGACGACTCGCACCCGACGCTCGTCTACGACAAGAATCTCCAGCAATGGGTCGACACGAGCGCCGCAGCGCCCAACGCGGCGGCCCCGCCCCCGATGGCGGCGCCCCCCGTGACGGCGATGGGAGGCGCGCCTCCTCTGAGCCGGAAATTCGAATTCAATCGCAATTCAAAGCGCTATTTAGATGTCACGAGAATTCAGTGAAAATCAGTTTTTATTTTCGCATTCAAAGAGAGTTTCGAAAACGACTTTCGACGACAAGAAGACGTCCGCGTCGTCGCTCATCGCGTCCACCAATTGTCGCGCTCTGCGAACCCTTTCCTCGTAATCTTCTAATTGTTGGGCGAATAGAAAGTGAATAAAAATGGCGACAATTAAGCAAATCTCGCGACAAATCATTTCTTCGGAATTTCTGGCATTTTCTCGATTCGTCTCTCTTTTCACGTGATTTTGAGTTTTAAATAAATTTTATTGTTTTTAAAGCCTTTTATTATTGGGGGAAAGAAGGGGGAGGGAAGACACTCTCTGCGCACGCGTCGCTTCTGTTGCTCTCGAAATGTATTTTCATTTCAATTCATTTGTGTTTCGTTTTGAGTGAAAGAAAGGCGAAAAATGGCGACACTTTTGACGACACTCGACGACAATTAGACGCCGCGCGACAGTTGGACGACAGGAGACGACAGGAATGGCGTCGCAAGCGATGGGAAGATGCGGTCCTTCGATGATCTCCTTTCGGTATTGTTTGCTCGCGTTTTGTCGCAAAACTAATTGTGTTTTGGTTTCCATAGAAACATGAACTTCTTAATAACAGGTATTTTTATGGCTTTTATCGCGAACTCTAATCATTGTTGTGTTCAAAGACAAACCGACGGACGCCACGCTCTCGCAGTACATCGAGGTATTGTTGCCACTAATCCCCATCAATAAACGCCTAATCCCTTAATCTCTTAAAGGAGTTGAAGCGCCGTCACGTGACGGATGTGGTGCGCGTCTGCGAGAGCACGTACTCTTCGGCGCGCCTGCAGTCGGCGGGCATCACGTGTCACGACTGGGCCTTCGACGACGGTATGTATTGTTGGCGTCACTCGACGACAGCTGACGACACTCACTGTCTATCGCAGGGACGCCGCCGCCGCAGACCGTCATCAAGAACTGGTTGTCGCTGTTGGCGCACCGCTTCCAGGAGGAGCCGCACGCATGCGTGGCCGTGCACTGCGTGGCGGGGCTGGGCAGGGCGCCGGTGCTGGTGGCCATCGCGCTGATCGAGGCGGGGATGCGCTTCGAGGAGGCCGTGGAGATGATTCGGGAGAGCAGACGTGGCGCCATCAACGCCAAACAGTTGCAATACTTGTCGGAATACAAGTCCCAAAAGAGACTTCAGTTTTCGGGAAATTCGAAACGATTTTGTGTTTTGATATAAATTTTATTTGAAAAAAGTCAAGAGTTTTGTGTATTGTTGGCGCGTTTGCGGCCGCGACGCCCGCCGCCAGAGGGCGCGGCTGTGGCGCCGCCGTTGGGGTGGAAGTGGTGCACGAACTGATGGCAGCATTGTTGACACAAGAGGCGGTTGTCGGCGAACACGTATTTGTCGCCCCTTTCGAGCGCTTTGCGACACGACTGACACGACATGCAGTCCAAGTGGATGGAGTGCGCGCTGTTGTTCACGCAGATGCGGTACTCGTGGGCCTGGATGGCTGAGCGGCACACGCGGCACGCGCTGCGCATCGCGGAGTAGTCTTTGCGACACACGAGCATTCCGTCGATGGCGTACAGCTTGTCCTGCAGCTCCGGTTGGATCTGTTGCGCGCACGCCTGGCACTTGAGACACGCCTTGTGGAAGTGGCGGCCGTCGCACGCGTAGAGGGAGGTGTCGAAGATGGCTGATCCGCACGAGAAGCACGAGAACGACATTCTTTGTGTCTGTGGAACAAAATGGAGGCGCAGTTGCTGTGTTGGCCGCCGAGTGGCGCCACTGCTCTTTATTTGCAATATTTACATTCATTCCTAACTTTTCACAACTTTTGTTCCGAAAACCCGTTTTGAGAACAATTACTATTCATGAGAAACGGCACGTAAAACATCTTCGACTGCAGCAACAGTGTGGCCGCGTTGGTCACGTGGTTCAGACAGTTCAAGAGCGACGTCATGCGCGAGTGCGTCGCTTCGGTGTCGCCGCGCGTCGCGTCGTGTTGTTGTCGTTCCTGACGTTCGGACAAATGCGCGATCAGAGCGTTCAGGTATTTGTCGCGGATGTGCACGACGTTCGTGTCGAAGAAGTCGCACGTGGGCTGAATGGTCGTCATGGCGACCACTTTCAACGCCACGAACTCCTTCAGCGTCAGACAAATGGCCTTGAATTGGAACCGCACGGCACACAACTCCTGCACCAGACTCCCGGCCTCCGACTCCAGCTGTTGCCACGAGATGACGGTCGACGTCGACGACGCGTTCAGGTGCGACAAGTTCTTCGCCAAATTGTTCATCGATTGGTTGATCTCCGCCTCCAGAGTGTCGCCAACGACGACGCCGTCGTGCGGATGGACGCCTCCTGTCGTCTGAATGGCGTTGAAGGCACAGGTGGACAGAACCAGGAGTTCGTGCCATTTGTGCGTCAGGAGCTGCGAAGGGAAGGCAGGGTTGAGTGGAAAGTGGGTCACGACTGGCACTCACCTGTGTGTGCACGTGAACCGGCAGTTGATCATAAAAAGGGAGACGTTTTGTCCACTGAACCAAACGGTAGACAATAGAGTCGCCGATTGAACACCTGTTGACGACAGAGAGACGTCAGAGACGACAACAACAATGAGAGTGACTTACAATCGGTCCGAGAGTTCGGTCGCGTTGGGCGACGTTGTCGTCGTTTCCGTCATTTCCAGAGACGACAGCGAACTGCAAGACAAACATATGTTAGAGACGTCACGAGACGACACAACAGACAAAACAAACCCAAAGTCCGCGAAGTCGTCGCATTCGATGAGAGCGCTCAACAGTTGGTCGCTCTCCTCGTGAGTCATCACCGGTTCTCTTGTCATCAAATCATTCATTTGACGCATTATTGGACTCGAAGTCGTGATGGGAGGCGCCGAAGACGTGGTCGTCGTGACGACGACCGACAACGCGGTCGTCGACGGCGTCGAGTGTCGTCCGCTGTTGCCGTTGTTGACGACCGCCAGAGCGTACGCGTTGTGGGCGCGCGACTGACCGCCGCTATTGACGTACGCGTTGTTATCGCGCGGACACGTGAGCGCCGTCTTGAGAATGCCGGCGTTCGACGACGACATGTGATTAGTGTTGTGATTGTTGTTGACGACGACCAGAGACGACGCCGTCGTCTGCGGCGTCGCGCCGTTGATTGGTTTCTTGTGTTTCCTGTACTTGACTTTGTAGAGGTTGTAAACGGCGCCCGAATTGCGGCCGCCGGGCATTCGGTCCTCGCGGACGGCGGCCAAAACCATTCCCTGCCGCAGACACTTCTGGAAGCGACAGTATTGGCAGCGATTGCGCTGCTGTTTGGTGATGACGCACTGGCCGTCGGCGACGCACGTGTAGACGCGCTTGTTCTGCACCGTGCGCTTGAAGAAGCCTTTGCAGCCCTCGCAAGTGATGATGCCGTAGTGCAGACCCGTCGCCCTGTCCTCGCAGATCATGCAAATCATCGGTTGATTCGAATCCATCTCTTGGCTCAGCGTTTGGATTACCAGTTGGTCTGACGTCACGCGCGACGCGTTGCGACACTCGACGATGTCGTGCACTGACGACGACAGCGACGACGAGTGGACGACAGCCGGCGTCGCGGACTGACTGTCGGGCTGCGGCGTCGTCGACGTGGACGACGGGCTGTTGGACGAGTTGGAGACGCTCTGGCCGTTGGGGCCCGCGTTGGTCCACACCATCGTCTTGTGGCCGTCGCCCTGACCGGGAATGTCGCCCATCAGGAGCGGCGCTGACCGCTGGCCGCGCGTCGACAGGTCGAGGCACTCGTCGCACGACGACGACGACGTCTCCGACCCGTTGTTGTTGTTCTTCTGCCGCACGACCTGTTCGGCGGAGAGCAGGACGAGAGCGGCGGCCGTCTCTTTGGCCGTCGGGTGGTCTGCGATGGCGTTGAGGTGGAGTTGGATGGCGTTGTTGTGGTTGTTGTGGACGTCCTTCGACGACAAGGCGTCCACTTTCCTGCGCTTCAGTTTGTAAGAGTGGAAGAGAGACATTGCGACGACGGGAGACGACCACTGACGACACTCACATTCGCTGAATGACACACTGAACCACTGATTGCTGCGAAACCAGTTTTAAAACACAATTAAGACTTGGAGGTCAACGAACTCGCGTTCAGTCAAAGCCCGCGTCTGCGCAGTCGCAACACTGCTTCAATGGGACTGAAGGTCAATGAACGCGAACTTCACTCAGAGTTCAACGAACGCCAGAGAGAGAGAGTGTGAGCGCGAGAGAGCGCTCTCGACAACACACTGACCCACTTGTAGGTCAATCCTCCTCCAGAACTGATGGTTAAGGTTAGAAACGGCGGACAACTCTTGTCCTCGCGATTATCCACCGATTTGTCTTCTCGTCCTCTTCTTCGCTGCAATTGATCCCAAATTTCGCCGAATTTTCACCGAATTTCCGATTTTCACAGCTTTTTCACGAAATTGAAGCGATTTTTCACTCTTTTCACAATTGACTCGAATTTTAACTGAAATTCGATTAAATTTTAAGACATTTTCGAAGAAATGAAACGAAAATTCGTTCAAAAAATTGAGTTTTAATTTTGGAAATGTTTTTCTGAAACGAAACACAAAAACAGTGAAAAGTTTCGAACATTTCTTCAATATTTCGAGCGTTCGTTCACTTTTGGCCTCAATTCCGAACCTCCAATCAGAACAGCGCTTCTCTCGACGTCTCGCGACGACTCACACGACGCCTCACTAATAGTTCGCCAAATGGCCGACAGATGTCTCGCGAATCCACTTTTGGTTCAAATGAAAAGTTTTCGAATTTGAATTCAAATCTCGTTTCGAAGGATTTTTTGCACAATTTTTTCGCCAAAAAACCCGCAAAACGAGTCCTCGCGCTCTTCCCACCCATTGTTGGCCTCAATAGCGAAGGACGGCTCGAATTGAAGGCCATTTCACGCGCTCTTCAGCCAAACTCCGCCCAAAACTCGTCTGCGATATAAAGTCGCGCGAATTGTGGCGAAAGTTGTGTTGAAAATGCGATTTCTCCTCTCGCTCTCGGTTTTCATTGTTTGCGCGCTTCTCTCGGTTTCGGCGCAGAAACCGAAGAACGCGACGACAATCGCGACGACGACTCAGACGTCGAACACGACGGCAGACGACAAACCGGTAATTGTCTCGCGATTCTCACTTTCTCTCATTCTTCGTCTTCTTCTCCCGAAAGCCGACAATAAATTGGGGAAAATGTCCGCAATTGGAGCCGAAGGACAGCGAAAAGCGCGCGAAACAAGCGGTTCTCGAGACGTGTCTCCAGAAACACCCGATTCCCGCGAATCTGACGCAACAGTCCATCGAATCACGTGATTATCTTGTCTAAGCCTTTGACTCCATTATGACGTCATCTTTTGCAGACCAGAAGGCGATCGCCGAGTGCGCGCTCAGAGCCGAGAAGTGGTTCACAAAAGCGGGAAACTATCGCTTTTCGAAAGCGGAAACAGAAATCAGAGCCAAAAAACTGCAAAAACCGATTGAAAGCCAACTCTTGGCGAATCACAAGAACTGCGAGTCGGAGGCGAAGCGCGAGTTCCCGAAGACGGCGATCATCGACCAGATCCAGCTCTACCAGGCGTGTGTGCGTCACGTGACCCGTAGTTATGGTTTCACAGCCTTTCTAACTCTAAATATTCACTTTCAGATGGATTTCCACATTTCGAACGTTTGCGAAATCAAAGTCGAAAATTCGAAATAAACTCAAATTCTTTTTATTGATTTTTTGGCCTTTTTTTCACTCGAATCTTCGAATCGGCGTTTCTTTCGAACGAGAAGTTCGGGCAAAGCGAACATTCTCTGCGGATGAATCACGTGACCCGTCGTCGTCGTCCGCCCGCAGCCGCAGCAGAGGCACAGCAGCGACAGCAGAAGCGTGTTCATAACCAACTAGAGCACAACACTCTCAGCGCGCTGTTGTTGCGCGCGCGAGAAGTACCGCCCGTCTCAGACGCAAGCCGACAGACTGCGCACGCGCTGCACAACGGGCGCGCATTGGCCGCCGCCGTGCGTGAAGAGCGCCGTGAGAGCGGCGGACAGCACTTCCCTCGGCGTCCAGCCGTTGGCCGCGAGAAGGCGTCGAAAAGCGTCGCACTTGTCGTCAATCGTCGCTTTGGTCGCCATTGAGTGCCGATAGAGGGCGACAGCAGCGCGACAGCTGTGACGCTGACACTGAGCGCTGATTGGCTGTTGGGGGCAGACATGCGCAGTGCGTGCGAGTGTTGGCAATGCGTTCTCTTTTGAGACCATTTTTGACTCCATTTTAAACATTCGTTTCGAAAGACTTTTTGAAGAAAATTGGAGAAAAACAGTGAAAAAAATCAAAAAAATCAATTTTCGCGAAAAAAGTCTTTTCTTTTCAAAACTCTTTTCAAAACAAAAGCTTTAATTATATTTTTATAACTTTTTTAGGTTTTTTTGATTTTTTAGGGTTTTTTAGGGTTTTTTTAGCATTTTAAACAGCTTTTTATCGTTTTTTATTGGCTTTTTTTCCATTCTTATGCTTGATTGTTGTCTCGGCTCATCCCAATTGGTTCCCATGACGACAGATGAACCCTTCGGGCCCCTCCTATCCCATGGCGTCGCTCTACGTCGGCGACTTGGCTCCGGACGTGACGGAAGCGATGCTCTTCGAGAAGTTCTCGACCGCCGGACCCGTGCTGTCCATCAGAGTGTGCAGAGATATGATCACAAGACGCTCTCTCGGCTACGCGTACGTCAACTTCCAACAGCCGGCAGACGGTAAGTGTCACGTGACGGACGCCGTGATGACGTCACGCCAACTCTCACCGAAGGCCGTCTCGAAGGTCACTCGGAGTCCGCGAGGGCTGAACCCACCGAACACGTGACCGCAGACGGCCCGTGACGTCACTGAGAGTTGGCAGTCTGAGCGTCGCGATTGGTCGCCAGGCGTTGACTCACACTCTGTGTTCATTGCAGCCGAGCGCGCGCTGGACACGATGAACTTCGACGTGATTAATGGGCGGCCCGTGCGCATCATGTGGTCACAGCGCGATCCCTCGCTGCGCAAGAGCGGCGTCGGCAACATCTTCATCAAGAATCTGGACAAGAGTATTGACAACAAGATCATGTACGACACGTTCTCCACGTTCGGCAACATCCTCTCGTGCAAGGTCGCGCAGGACGACGAGGGCAACAGCCGGGGGTATGGCTTCGTGCACTTCGAGTCGGAAGAGGCGGCGACGAACGCCATCGCCAAAGTCAACGGCATGTTGTTGAACGGCAAGAAGGTGTTTGTGGGAAGGTTTGTCCCCCGCAAGGAGCGCGAGAAGAACATGGGCGAGCGCACGCGCCGCTTCACGAACATCTACGTGAAGAACTTGAGCGAAGAGTACGACTGCGACGAGAAGTTGCGCGCGTTGTTCGAGCCTTATGGGGAGATCTCGTCGGCCAAGGTCGTTCCCGACGACTCCGGGAAGAGCAAGGGCTTCGGCTTCGTGTCGTTCGAGGAGCCCGAGATGGCGGAGAAGGCGTGCGACGACTTGAACGGGAAAGAGCTGTCCTTACCCTTCTGCGACAAGCACCCCGCGCGCGTCTTCTTCCGGCTCGCGGTCCGGCTCAACGCCGCGTTCAAGCTCGTCGACTTCTAGCTCGCGGAGTTGGCGATGGTTCCGCAGTTGGACATGCACTAGAACCTGGACGACCAGATCGACGACGAGCGCCTGCGCAAAGAGTTCGCGCCGTTCGGCACAATCACGTCGGCGAAGGTCATGACGGACTCGACGCTGCGGTCGAAGGGCTTCGGCTTCGTGTGCTTCTCGACGCCGGAAGAGGCGACGAAAGCGGTCACAGAGATGAACAACAGGATAGTTGTGACGAAACCCCTCTACGTGGCGCTCGCGCAGCGCAAGGACGAGCGGCGCATGCACCTCCTGTCCCAACACGTGCAGCGCAGCGGCGGCATGCGCGTGCAGACGCTGCCCCAGGCCGCGCCCTCCGGCCACCACCACCCGCACCACCACCACCACAACCCCCAACTCCCCGCCGCAGCCTTCATGGCGCCACCGGCGGCGCTGCTCGGCGTCCAACAGCCCAACCAATCAGGTGAGAGCTAGAAGTTGTTGATGACGTCATGACTAACCCCTTGCTGTGATAGCGCCTGTGCGCCCGGTTCCGATAAAGTAAGGTTGTTAGGGCGTGGTCTACTTGCGCGCGGGAATGATAGTCTGCCCGCGGCGACCGGTTGTCCCTCGGTTAGTCGCCGGCGCTACCGTTGTTGGCTTTCCCGGCGTCGGAAGAGCGGCCCCGCCCTATGGGTCGAGCTATAGGCCGCGCGGCGGAATCGGAGGACAGGTTCCACAGCGCGCGCCAATGCCACGACAGATGGGAGCGCCGGGCGGCAGAGGCGCGCCGAGGGCGCCGTCGCAGCCGCGGGCGTCGTTCGCGCCGCCCAAGTTCCAGCCGCAGCGCTTCCCCCAGGCGGGCATTAGTGTGCCGGGCCAGGAGCCGCTGACCACTCAGATGTTGGCCGAAGCGAGTCCTCAGGAGCAGAAGCAGATGCTGGGTAGGAGTCGTGACGTCACGTTCTGTTCCGCACTAACACCTGTTCTCTCTTAGGCGAGCGCCTCTTCCCCGTCATCTCGGCCATGCATCCGGATCTGGCGGGAAAGATCACGGGAATGCTGTTGGAGATCGACAACTCGGAGCTGTTGCACATGTTGGAGCATGGGCAGTCGCTCAAGGCCAAAGTGGACGAGGCGGTGGCGGTGTTGCAGGCGCACCACGCCAAGGAGATGGCCGCGAAGAAGGACTGAGCGCGCGCCGAAGACAATACACAAAAAAATGGAAAAATTTCTTTAATTCTGAATAAAACTTGATTTCAAACCACGAGATGTCGCTCTCGTCTCTGTTGTTGTTATTGTTGGGAATGAAAGCCCGAAAGCGCTTTCTCCTCATTGTTGTCGCGTTCTTCGCGATCCTTCTCTTCGCGTGGAATGGCGTTCGGCGACAATGGCGTCAATCGGCGAACGCGACGACGAGTGGCGACCATTACTACTCCTTTGACTTCGAGCGTGAATACGAGGAGAGCGCGCACTCAATGGGAAGCGAGTGTCGAATGGAGTCGTGTTTCGATTTGAATAAATGCTCAGAAAATGGACTCAAAGTTCATATTTATCCCGAATTTGGACTCAAATTGAATCCCATTTTCGCCAAAATCGTCGAAATCATCAAAAGCTCGAAATATTACGAAAAGGACGCGAAAAAAGGTTTCGAAAACAATTGAAAACAATGTCTAACAATGTCTCTCCAAAAGCGTGCGTTTTTTTGACCACAATTTGGGACACTTTAGATCGCGACCCGCTTTCCCTCGACTTCCAGGTCTCCATAGCAACGAATGCAAACAATCGCTAACTTGTGTTCCCATAGAAACCGAACGCCGCGATGCTCTCCTTCAGACCTCTATTCGGGGGCAGAAAGATCGCGACCCGCTTTCCCTCGACTTCCAGGTCTCCATAGCAACGAATGCAAACAATCGCTAACTTGTGTTCCGTATCTTTGGCTTGCGGCGCTACGAGAGGAAGTCTGGAGATAAGCCCCCGTCTTTGGTGTAGGAGAAGTTGGAGATGAGCCCAAGCACCGGAAGCATAGCGCTCGAGCTGAAGCGGAAGCCGGTGTTCTACGGCCCAATCTCTCAACTGCTGCGCAACGCCCTCCTCATCAAAGCCAGCCAATCGCGCGCCTCCTATCGCCACGGCTTCGACGTCGCCTTCCCCCTCTTCGCGCGAAACCACGTGACGCGGGGGCCGCCCTTCGTGGCCGAGTCGCGCCCCTCCGCCGCCACGGCCGCCACGAGCGGTCAGTACCTGTTGGTGTTCAAGGGCAAGCGCTACACGTATGGCATCGGGAGCGAAACGCGCAATTCGCTGCACTTCCTGCACAACGCGCGTGACGTCATAATCCTCACCACTTGCAAACACGGCAAGAAGAGCGTGAAGGACGCCGAGTGCGACCGCGACGACCAGCGCTACGACGACCACGACTACCGCGCGCTCATGCGCAACGCCACCTTCTGTCTGGTGCCCCGGGGGCGCCGCCTCGGCTCCTACCGCTTCCTGGAGGCGCTGCAGGCGGGCTGCGTGCCGGTGGTGTTGGCCAACGAGTGGCTCCTCCCCTTCCACGAGCTCATCCAATGGCGCGACTGCGCTGTGATCGCCGACGAGCGCCTCCTCTTCCAAATCCCCGAAACCTTGCGCCAAATCTCGCGCCAAACCGTCGCAACAATGAGAGCCAAGTGTCTCGCGCTTTACGACACGTACTTCTCTTCCGTGGAGCGCATCGTTCTGACGTCACTTCTGGTCATCGAGAACCGCATTCATCCGCAGCGCGCGCCCCCAAGAACGCAGTGGAACCTGGCCACGCCCACCATGGCCGCAGTGGTCGGCCAATCGCAGCTCGGCGTTCGCGACCCGCTCGTTGGCCAGCTGTTGGCCGAAGAGCCGAACGGCACTTCGCGCGCGTTCACCGTCATTGTTGACGTGAAGGACGCGAATGACGTCACGACCAATCTGCACCGATTGTTGACGCGCGTGCTCTCCGCCTCTCCGCTCGTCTCTCGCGTGCTGTTGGTCGCGAAGAAAGGCGTAAAACTTCCCGAACTGGACTCGCGACTGGTGCGCGTGGTGGAGCGCGACTCTGCGGCCGCGCGCTTCCGCCCTCACACTCTGGACACTGATTGCGTGCTCCAACTCAGCGCTCACTCTCTGCTCTCTTCCCAAGAGCTCGAGTTCGGATTCAGTGTTTGGCGCGCGTTTCCCCAGCGCGTCGTGGGCTTCGCGGCACGTGACCACTTCTGGGCGGACGGCGCGTTCGAGTACTCGTCCAAATGGACCAATCGCTACTCTCTGGTGCTCACAGACTCCGCCTTCTACCACAAGTATGCAACTGTTGTCGTCGCGCGCTCTCTAATCATTGTTCTCTTTCGCAGAGCTTTCAATCACTTGTTTTCCGACTTCTTCGCCAACAATCACTCGTTTCTCGCGACAGAAGACGAAGAATGCGTGGATTTCGCGTTTTGTAAGTTTTTCCCGAAAAAAAAACTCTTTTTCTAATTATTCATTCATTTCTTTAGCATTCCTCGTGAGTCACGTGACACGAGAAGGTGACCATTGAAATGATATTAACACTGAATTGCAATCAAACTCTTCTTCCGATTTCAGGCGCGATAAAAGTGACGCAACGGAAGACGAGTTCCAACGCGACGCTCTCGTGGCAGGAGTTCCGCGACCGCAAGTCCTGTTTCCGGAAACTGCAGACACTCTTCGGCTATTTGCCACTCATCGAGAGTCGCGTGCGTTTCGATCCCCTCCTATATAAAGATAGCGTTTCTGTAAAACGCAAAAAGTATCGCAAACTCGAGTTGTGAATAAAGAGACGTAATTTGTTGCACTTATTGAGTCATTGATTGGCAGACATTGCTCGCGACACAACACTCCCTGCAATGGCCTCGGCGTCCGGTCCCTACAACTACTCCTACATCTTCAAGTACATCATCATCGGCGACATGGGCGTCGGCAAGAGCTGTCTGCTCCACCAGTTCACCGAGAAGAAGTGTAAGCCAATCACAATGTGACATTACTGACTATGACAACAATGACTAACGCTCGCTCTCTCCGCAGTTATGGCCGACTGTCCGCACACGTCTGTATCTCTCCTCTAGTCCTTCCTCTTATCCCTAACTGTCTCTCTGCGCAGAATCGGCGTCGAGTTCGGCACGCGCATCATCGAGGTGTGCGGCCAGAAGATCAAACTGCAGATCTGGGACACGGCCGGACAGGTGAGCCAATCGCAGCCAATCACACTGTTGACACTCCCGTCTCCATAGGAACGCTTCCGAGCCGTGACGCGCTCTTACTACAGGGGCGCCGCGGGCGCGCTCATGGTCTACGACATGACGTAAGCGCCACACACCCTCTCATTGGCACTAACGCCCCTTTCACCCCACAGGCGGCGCTCCACCTACAACCACCTGAGCTCGTGGCTGACGGACGCGCGCAACCTGACCAACCCCAACACGGTCATCTTCCTCATCGGCAACAAGTGCGATCTGGACGCCCAGCGCGACGTCACGTACGACGAGGCGAAGGCGTTCGCCGACGAGAACGGACTCACGTTCCTCGAGACGAGCGCCAAGACGGGCGACGGCGTGGAGGAGGCGTTCTTGGAAACCGCGAAACGCATCTTCCAGAACATCCAGGACGGCTCGGAGCTGGACTTGCGGCGGCTCAGCCCGCAGGTCGTGTTCGGGTTGGGGCACGACAGCCGCGTCCGCGAGTCGCGGCCTTCTCTCCCGCCGGCGCTGCCGCCTCCGCGCACAGTCACAATTAACAAATTTTTTATTTGTGATTAAAACGTGAGATCAAATGCGCGTCTCGTTCTGCGCGCGCGTTTCGTACAACGGGTTCGGGAAGGCGTTCACGTTGTTGTAGACAGTGTTGGCGAACGCGCCGTTCGTCACGCCGTAGAAGTCGGTCTCGGAGTCCGAGTAGTAAGTGATGAGCGATTTGCGTCTGCGCTGCGACTGTCGTCGTTTCGAACGACGCCGTTGTGACTGTCGTCTCGACGTCGTCAGGAAGGCGTTGTTTATGGGACTGCGGGAGAGA